TCAATCTTAACCTCAATCTGTCTCACATAACGAATATTTATTTCCAGTCTCAAATGCTGTTTTTCCTCCCTTGCTTCCAGCCATTATTCCCCTAATGCATGCTATTTCATCTAACATATACGATACTTCTTCAAATGTCTTCATTTTATTCTAGTCTGTCTTCTCATTGTGGGCTCATTTACCTATTCCAGATAGCTAACCAATAGAGAAATTTCAGGAATTCGATTTAAGTTAGACCTTGCTAAGGAAGAAAAATTGAAGTGAAGAAAGGACATTTTCATTCCAAGTCATTATGGAGAACTTACAGTAACCATCCAGTCATGAGTGATTCTTACTCTACATCTTTGAGATTCACTAGATGAGTGTGGGCTTGTATTGAAGCAGGAAAAGAGGAGCTACTGCTTTTGGGGAAAAGGAAGTGGAAAAGAATAAGAGAATCTTCAGAGAAGACAACTAAATCTTATTAAAAAAAAAAAAAAAAAAAAAAAAAAAAAAAAAAACAAGCCAAGCTGAAATCCATTAAAATTACTCTAAGGGTTTTTCTTGCCTAAGTCCTGGTCTATAGATCAGTGTTACAGAACTTAGAGTTCAGAAGAATATTTACAGATTCAGGAACCTTGAACTCAATGTGTGACATGTACTATGTGCTCAGTAAATCTTTTGAGGAAATACTTGCATTGACAGTGTTATAAAAGTTTTTGAACATATAGAAACATGCCTATAAGCCCCTTCTTGCCATTGACCATATAGTCTACCTGTTCTCTCTGAACACTTTCAACTTTTCTCACTGTGTTTGCAACCACTTGTATAATGATACAATAAATCACAGTTGTCAAGACTCCATATTCTTATTGCTATGTACTATTGAATATCTTCAGTTGGAAGACCCACCAGCACCTCAAACATGATATTCCAAGTTGAAGTTTTTTACTTCTAACTCAAAATATATTCCTTGTGTTATTTGCTGAGCCCCGTTAATTGTACAGCCTAAAAAAATAACTGGGATAGCAGTCTCTCTTGTATTCATTATCCAGTAATCCTGTTAAATTTGCTCCCTAAGTAGCTTTTTAATTTCAAAAAAATATTATTTATTTTTTATTTTATTAGAAAGGCAGGTAGACAGAAACAAAGAGATGTTTTCCATCCTCTATCTCACTCCTGTAATGCCCACAGTAGTCAGGACTAGTCCAGGCCAAATCCAGGAGCCAAGAAATTCATCCAGGGCACCATGTAAGTAACAGAGACTCAATTACTTGAGCCATCATCTATTCCTACCAGGGTGTGTGTTATCAGAAAGCTGAATCAGAAACAGAAGAGTCAAAACTCAAACTAGGCACTTCTGTGTGGGATGCAGGTATTCCAAGTAGTGACTTAACCACTATGCCTAACATCCACACCCTAAATAGTTTTTATTTTTTAAAGATTTGTTTATTTATTTGAAAGGCAGAGTCACAGAGAAGCAGAGGCAAAGATAGAGAGAAAGGTCTTCTATCTGCTGGTTCACTCCCCAGATGACCCCAATGGCCAGAGCTGCGCCAATACAAAGCCAGGAGCCTGGAGCTTCTTTGAGTTCTCCTTTGTGGGTGCAGGGGCCCCAGCACTTGGGCCATCTTCTACTAAATAATTTGTAAATGGCACTCTTCATCCGTATCTCATCAGGTCTCATATACACATATGTGTATTATTTCTATCTCTAGTTTGATCCTTCAGATCTATAGCATTTTATGTAAATGCCAACCCTGACCATGTTTTATCCAAGCTTCCAGAACCTGCAGGTAAAGCCCTTATCATCTTTTGTAAAACTCTATTTGCATACCACTTTTCAACTTCTCTCCTTTTATACTTGGTATTACAATATAAAATATTAAACAGTGTTTCTCCCCTTGATGTTAAGTTTCTCTAAGTGTTTGCCCTTTTGCTTTTCTGCCTGTCTTTTCACAGTATCTTTTAAAATCTATCTTAGATATCATCTCATTGACACTAATCTGGAAGGGTGTAGGTAGCCCTTCTTGTCTTTTTTCTGCAATAAAACTTCTCACATTCTTATTTCATCCTTCTCCTCTATCAGTGGCCTAGAGTCATCCATGTGCTCTGTGTTTCAGTGTCCAGCACATGGAGTATTTGACAAATGATTTTGAACGATATGAACTAAATCTCTGTGATACATCTAGAAGGACCCAAAGCAGATACAAAATGTAGAGATCATCCACTTCCTGTACTTGTGAATTCTGCTTTCACTGGCAAAATGAGCTCAGGAAGAGATAAACTCTGAGATAAATTCTGAAAAACTTAAACAAATTTTAATTGAAAGTTGCACATTCCTAAAATAAAGTCTACCGGAAAGGAGTGCATGTCTGCAATGGAGCCTATTAAAGCTTTGAACAACACATCATTGGTGAGTGGAATAAGGAATGAGTGAATGAATCAATGAATTTGAGGTGTATCTAAGTATCTGGTAAACCAAATAAAGCTGTTACTATAATTACAGACAGTCCAGACAGTCAAAAAGAATTCCTTCTGAAAGTAAAGATGAAGTTCCCAATCTATATTACTGCCATTGTCCATTGTCATCTTTTGGGGTTTTAAAATTGTTTTGTTTTTTTTTTTTTTTTTTTTTTTTTTTTGCTTTTATCTGAGAGGCAAAAATAGAGACAGAGACAGACAGAGATCTTTCATCCACTGGTTCATTCACCAAACGCCCACAACATCCAGGGCTGGGCAAGGTCAAAACCAGGAGCTTAGAACTCAACACAGACTTCCCAGATGGATAGCAGGAATCCAACTACATAAGCCATCCCCTGCTGCCTTCCAAAAGTGCACATTTGCACAAAACTGGAATCAGAGGTAGGGTTAGAACTCAAAACAGGCAATGCAAATATGGTATGCAGGTGTCCTAAGAGTGTCTTAAATGCTGCACCAAACACCCGTGCACTCACTTTGTTTTGAATAAGAAAGCTATTTAGAAGTTCCAAAATTTCTAAGTCATTATTTGATTTACTGGAATAGTTTTATTACCATTTTTTTCTTTTTGTTTGTGTGTGTGTGTGTTTTCATGAAAACTAATACAAAAAATTCTTGAAGTTTGCTAGGACAAGATGTTTATATTTCATAAACAAAGTCACCTGGCAGAATATGTGTGGGCATGAGACACAGAGAGGGAGAGAAATACTTAAGAGTATGAAGAGTGTGAGTATCTTGACTCATTTATGAAACTTTTTATTAATTGGCAATTAGCTTAACAGAGTATATTCAAAAACACATTGAGAATCCCTTTGTAAGGAACTGAACAACCATAAGTAATTTGTTATTCTATTAATATTCTTTTAATGTAAGCTGTAGAACAATATTTTGTCTTGTAATCTAATTCACACAGAAGCACAAAGTCCTTTTGTTGAAATGAGGTATGCCATTCTTGACTGGTACTTCACAAAGGGTTTCCTTCCAAGAGATTCTCTCTAGTAAAATAGGGGCTACTTCATCAGGTTTGGCTCTATGCTTTACTTCCTTTAACATAGTCTTTAAATTCTTGCTCTGTCTTCTTTATAGGCCACATCTAAAGTTACTTATGCACATGCTTCTTTTCTTTCTTCTCCCATGATTCTGTGAGCTGTATGAATCAGTCTGCAATTTATTTTTCTCCATATATGCTACAAATTCCCTCTCCTAGACTTCAATAGATGCTCAACCATATCCACTGAATAAATGAACAAATTATACCCATTTGACTTGATGTAGTGAGTCATTTTCATCCAAATACTAACTACTTTTAACATTTTAGAAAAGGAAAAATTGAAGAAGGCCTGTGCCCCAGGACCAATATTAATCTTGATTTTTTTCTATGCGGTATTATTTTTGACACAGCAGGGAAAACCAACTACCAATAGTATGAATATAATGGGGGTAAACCAGTCTTACAATTATAACTCTATTTATAATTTTCCTGTTAAATACTTAGGAAGTGGGTGTAGTGGCACCATCTAAGGGTCCAGTTCTATAAACAAAGAGGTAATAACTCCTTAAGAGTCTTGGAGACCTGAAAGGTCCACTGACAGTTATTGTCAAAGTACTAGATATATGACATTGGGGCAGTCAGTTAAGTAAGTCTCGGTTTCTTCATTTGGCAAATGGGAATCACAGTACTTCATTACTTAAGCCACAAATTTAAACTGCGTGAAATGGATCATTTCTGTGAAAGCTTGTTGGCTCAGAAAACCACCACTAAAGTATAAGAAGCTTGCCTCTTAAACTTGTAGGGTACAGCGGCTGGGAACCTCATAAATTGTTTTATATGAAACACCTAGATCCTTGCTAAAATACAGGCAACACAATACTGACCATGAAGTTTCAGCTGAATGGTTATAGAAACCTCTCACATCCAAAGAACATTTATTACCTCTTTTGACATCACCAGCGCCTAATATTCAAGCATAATGACACTCAATGATGATTTGTTATGTTAATAATTATTTTTTTATAATAGAGGGCAAGACATTATAATGACTAAAGGGTGGGTTCTGAATTTTGAGTCTCTGTGTTCAAAACCTATCTTCGACTTCTTCATCAGCAAAATGGAAATAATAACAGCTTTTGCCACAGGGCTTCTGCCAAAATTAAACTTGGGTAAGAGTCTAACAGTGTCTGACTCATGGTAAGCACTAAATAAATTTTAACTTATTGATTGATATTCATCTTTTTCTTGTACGGTAGGAATTGTGTTCTTGTAATCATTAACTAAAACGTGATGACTTTGCAGATTAATAGGCAATGTAAAAGGGTGGTTTACATGTAATTTAACCAAGAAATGACAAGTCCGCAATGCTATCCACTTACCACCACAAACATCTGATAAGTGTCACAGGTCGGCCATTTGCATCGCAAAGCAGGAACCCCTGTTTTGACATGGGGTTACCCTCTCTGCAGTCACGGCACTTCCTCAGCCTGGCAGTTAAGCACACAATCACGTCTTTCTGTTTGCTCCTGTCCTTGTTCATGCTTACCAGGTACAAAGACAGGAGACTGGCCCAGCACAAGTCGGAAATAGAATGTTTCACCCCCAAAGGGAGTATGGGGAATGGTGGGAGAGCAACAATGAGCAGGTAAGCAAACTGTGAGTGGCCTGAGGTGGTGTGAAATAAATGTATGCAAGCTAGAGGAACAGGTGGCTCCCTGGTCTGAGTCCTCACTCAACTGTGCATTCCATATAATTTGTTCTACCTGGGCCACAACTGGTTTTCTGTGTGTGTTTGATTTGCAAAGCCCATACCATCCTCATAAAAGTAAAGGGAGCCTCCTGTCCCAGCTGCTGCTGTTTCCTAGGGTTGTGCGCTTTGCATGTCTGAAGCCTCAGCTCACAGTCCATTTTCCCCTCGGCCTTAACTTATTGGTCATATGATTCTGGAGTTTGCAAAGTGGAAGAGATTGGAGGAAATTCATTCCAGGACTATCCAATCACCTACTAAAAAAAATGCAAACACTTAGGACTGATTCTAAGGGAAGGATTGCAATTGAGGGAATACTCCAGCACTTGATCCTGAACAAACCTGAGCATCAATGTGATCTACTTTAAATGTGACATCATCTCACAGCCAAGGGCAAAGGCTAGTGAACCCACTGGACTACAGAGGTGAGAGGCTTTTCTCAACCTGAAATCAGGAAAGCTAATCCTCCTCTAGCTACCATAGCTTTGCAGCTCCTTGACTTCTTTGTGTTGTTGATGAATACTACCTGTCGCTACGCTGTGCATGTTCCTCCATACTATGCACTCTCAACTGGGTTGTACCCAGTGAGCTGGAGTATTTGGAACTATAAACATCAACTAAGCTGTGTTGCATGTAATGAACGTGCTTTATTGCATGAGACAGAGTTTCAAGAAAAAGGCTCTAATGACAAGGATAGTTATTATCATTAAATAGCTTCAGAGTTCTGGAAGAGCCATGAGTTGAAGAGTCACTCATCATGAGCTAACTTCTAATTTGCTGTGGCATTTCACAATCTGTCTTTGGTACAGAAGTGTGGGAGGGGAATTCTTTCAAATCACCCTGGATTATAGAAAAGAGAAAGTCCAGGAAGATGAGTATGTACGTGTGTGTGTGTGTGTGTGTCTTTACTGAAAGTAAAGCTTGAGGTTCAGCTGCTTAAAAAGAAGATAACTCTATTGAAATTTCACCCCAAAATATTTTGTTTCCTCAGTGGAATGAACTCATTTCTGTGTTCAAAGAAATTAATGACTTTTTTTCGAGGACAACCACATGCACTACTATTCGGAGAACGTTCACATTGCTATCTGTAAAAATGTGTCCAGTATTGTGAAACACGTATAGTAGCCCTGGCCAAGACTAAGGACTCGGCAATGAAAGGGTGTGGGTATATGTAGGAACTTTTTTTTATCTGATAGCCTCATATGCACTTTCCTTATACAGCTATCCTTGGACATCAGTGTCTCAAAGATAAGCTTCAGTGGATTATTTTGTGGGGGTAACACAATAAAATGTTATTAGAGTTCCTGGTTTCATTCCACTTAGATATGAGAAAATAACATAATTCACATACAAAAAAATTAGGTAAGCAGAAGAAGAGTAGGCTGCACAGAGTGAAAGTGACTATGTCAAATGAGACACTAAGGACTCTTTCCATAATAACTTCAGAGTTGAGGTCCAGAACTGGAGTTTTCAAATGTAGCAAACTTGGTTGCCCATCAAACATACTAGGCAAAAATCATTGATAATAAACAAACAATAAAACCTTGGAATCTGTGGTATAACAAATTTTCAGGTTATTCAATTTATCTGTACCATAAACTGATATTTTAGAATAATTCATTCACCTAGGAGATGGAATGGAGTTGTTCATGGCAAGCATTTGGTCTCAACTATGCCATACAAAACTCTTAAAGCTCTTTTGTCATTGCTTACAGCTTTCAAGTCTGATGACCCTAGAGATCAGATTTTTCTCCAGGCTGGGTTGGCTGAGAATAGAGGGGCAGTTTATGGGGGAACACACAATAAGGATTCCCCAAGTTAAACAGACCAAACTACTTTGGGTTAGGTCTTGATCTACAGAGGTAGCCACTCAACATGTTTACTCCAGAAATAGTCCAGGTTTCTCTGCAACAGCAAGAGACCGCTGCACTTGTGTTTCCTCACTTGTTTGGATATAGCTAAGGTAATGACAAGGCTTATTATATTAGCATATCCTGGTGGAAGAGAGAGGAATAGTGCATGCTATAGAAAATACATCCTTTCGGAGTAACCATCTCAGTCCTCCAGATAAACAGTTAACTGAGAATAAATGGCCTCCCTTTTCTAATTTCTCTCTTAATTTCTTTAGAATTAAATAAAAACTGACAGAAAAAGAGACAGGGAGATAAGAAGTCCTTCAATGAGCTAAGAAATCTTTCCCTTAGCAGTGTAAAGAACTGAAGGCATACAAACAGAGAGGCTAAAATTCACAAAGCCTTTTTATCTTTTATTGTCAAACATATTTGTTTTTATAAATACACACATACATGTGTGTGTACATACACACACACACACACACACACACACACACACACATAGTGGCATCTATCCAGGAAGTATAACTCCTAAAAGGAAGTTAAGGGAAAAGATGTAAGAGGAAACAATTGCAATGTAAACAGTTTGTAATTTAGGAGTTGCAGTGTTTATCCCAATTTTCTCACTCTTAAACTTGTTGGAAAGGCTAGGAAAATATATCTGCCTGTATTTTGAAACTTTATAGGTAATTTTAGTATTAACTGATAATGCCTTCTTTCCTATCCACCTCCATTCCTCTCCCAAATTGTTTCCTGGAATCATAGTCAAGCTTCACTCTACAAACATCTGAGTTGATACTGTGACCAGGACTGAATAACCAGTCCCAGAAAGGGGCTAATGTAAGTTAAAACAACTACAGGAAACCAAGAGTGTTTCTCTTCATTTCATTTGCCTGTGTTTCTTTTATGGTGAAACTGCAGGGTGGACAGTAGCCTATGAATTCCTGCCTGGGTGATTATCCCAGAGCCAGGTTGCCTGTTGAGCAGAGAGGGAGTTTTACCCTGCTTGCAGCAGAACACTACCATCCTATCTGTAGGTGGGAAGGTCTTATATAGATACTTCTAAAAGTCTGCCCTCTTCTCTCCACCCCAACATTTGAAAAGGAATGAGAACATTATATACTCATTATATACTCAGTGCACACTAGCTTCCTGAACTATTATATTGTCTTTTTACCTTCAGGTAAACAGATTATTTTTTTTCTTTCTGGCTGAATGTAGTATAACTTGTAATCTTTTCCATTTTCACAGTGGACAGTCTAAGTGTGTTTCAGAGCAGAATCCTGCAGATGCAGGAGAAGTGAAAAAGAGTCCTAAACAGGGAAGTGCTCTAGGAGCCAGGGTGTCTAGATATTCCACCCTCAGGAATCACTGTTATCATCCCCATGCTCAACAGGCGTGTGCCACCAGAGTACTTCCTGGCCTCTGTGTTGAGATGCTTGTGTTGTGCTCCATGAAGGCCAGTCACTAAGAATCATAAGATCATAAGCTAACCTTAACAAACCCTTCAGTGTCTACCTTCCCTCTATTCAGCACATATATTCTCTCCTCCAAGACACTCCATGTGTCTTACCATTCCCAAACACTCTGACTTCTTTCTACAGTATTACTTCTTACCATATGCTCTGTTTCTACCTGGGCTGTCCTCCCTTTCTGCTTCTACCTATCTTCTCTAAAACCCATTCCTCTTCTATTTGTCAAATTCAGGGGTCAAGCCACAATTCTAATGCCGTGCCTCTTTGTGTTCATTCTGAAAATCATATGGCCCATCTTATCTCTTCCAAATTCATTATTATCCCTTTATATATACCTCTTATATTGCCTATTAACTGATTGCCTGTATCTTTTCACTGGAATTGAAGGGTTTGTTCACTTTCACATCCTCAGTTCCAAACAGCACTCTGGATCTACTGATTCAATCAACAAATCGAGGAAAAACACATAGGGTAACTTTCTGTATATGGATAGCACTGTTTTAGGAACCATAGGGTGTTCAGGAAAGGAGAAAATAATTTCTGCTCTAAAGGAATTGATGGTGTTAAAAAGCAAAAACAAATAAAACTGGCTCAAATTGAACATGTAACAATAATAGGCTACCTTAAGCTATGAAATTTGTGTTCCAGGTAATAAGGTCTAGATTTAAATTGATGAAGGGACTGTGGCGTGGCAAACGAATGAGGGAAAGCACCATAGTATATAGTTACAAAGTCAAGTTTCAAGAGTTTCTAGAAGAAAATTTCATAAACTGTATTCTTTGGAAAAGTAGAGCAAGTGCAAGAGATACTTCGTGATGAGCACAGGAGAATAAAATCAGGGATGGAGGCACAAGTGACAACAATGTAGCCAGCACTACAAGGGTACTACTAAAAGCTCATGGAAGATGGGATTAAAACATGTTTATTTTGATATAGACATTTTGAAATCCCTGCATATTTTTTCCAAATACAGACATTCTGTGAACTTTTTGAACCCCCCTCATATGTGCTCCATGTCCTTTGTGGAGATTCTCTGTGAATGTTTATATAACAAAGGTTCAGACATTAATTTAATCTGGTTTACCTTATCTGATCTTGGAGCCATTTATTCATGAATTCTTATTCTTACTTCCTATAGTGTTTGCCTATTAATTTTATTGAAAATATATTAATCAAAAAGAAGAAGATCAAAATTATGTCTTCCAAGCAGCTTTGAAATCTTAAAAGTCATTTCCTAGGGAAATCTTTTATAAGACCAGCAAAATCCCAAAGTCTAGCTAATGTCTGGTGATTTGAATACAAATTACTACCTTTAAGTATCACAAATATAAACCAAATTTCTAATTCCCTTTGCTTATTTTTTCAAAGGAATGACTAATCAATATGATATATGTATACTCTGTTTATGTGCTATTAAATTGGACAGTCTCCAGACTGAAAAGCATAACATGAAATAGCAAATGGGGTACTTCAATTCCATGGCTATTTATCTTTTTTTCTTCTCAGTCCTCTTCTTGTCTAACACTCTTTTGATTAAAAAAAAAAAAAGGAGGAGCTAGTCAAAGCCAGT